CAGGTTTTCTGCGGTTCCTGCAGGTTTTTCTGGGGTTTTGGGGATTTTTTTCGGGGATTTTGTTGGATTTCTACGGGTTTTCTGGGGTTCCTGTAGGTTTTCTGGGGTTGACACCCCCGGTAAAGATCGCGATAACTCCCCGATAACAATCGCGATAACTATCGCGATACCGCCCCCGATAACAATCGCGATAATGCCCTGATAAGGATCCCGATAACTCCCCGATAACTATCGCGATAACGCCCCCGATAAAGATGCGATAACGATCACAATAATGCCTTCGATAACGATCCCGATAATTCCCCGATAATAATCCCGATAACGATTCCGATAACTATCTCGATACTGCCCCCGATAACGATCACGATAACGATCGTGATAATGTCCCCGATTACGATCGCGATAACTCCCCGATTACGATCGCGATAACGCCCCTGTCACGACGCCCCCGATAACGATCGCGATAACGATTGCGATAACAATCCTGATAACTCGCCGATAACAATCCCGATAACTCCCCGATAACGATCCCGATAACTATCGTGATACCGCCCCCCGATAACGATCGCCATAACAATCCCCATAACTCCCCCATAACTATCGCGATAACGCCCCGTGGCACGATGCCCCCGATAACGATCATGATAATGCCTTCGATAGCAATCCCAATAACTATCCCGAGATACTCCCCGATAACGATCGCGATAACGATCGCGACAACGATCCTGATAACTCCCCGACAACTGTCGCGATAACACCCGCGATAAGAATCCCGATAATTCCCCGATAACTATCGCGATAACACCCCCAATAACAATCCCGATAACTCCCCGATAACTATCGCGATAACGCCCGCGATAAGAATCCCGATAATTCCCCAATAGCGATCACGATAGCGATTGAGATAACGCCCCCTGTCGCGATCCCGATAACTCCCCGATAACAATCCCGATAACTATCGCGATAACGCCCCCGATAACGATCGCGATAATGCCCCTGATAACGATCCCGATAACGCCCCGATAACGATAACAATCCCAATAACTGCCCGATAACTATCGCGATAACGCCCCCGATAACAACCCCGATAACGATCCTGATAACTCCCCGATAACGATCCCGATAACTCCCTGATAACTGTCCCGATAATGCCCGCGATAAGAATCCTGATAATTCCCCGATAACTATCGCGATAACGCTCCCATCACGAGGCCCCCCCGATAACGATCGCGATAACTCCCCGATAACACCTCCCATAACTATCCCGATAATTCCCTGATAACTATCGCGACAACACTCCTGATAACTATCGCGATAACGCCCCCGATAACGATCCCGACAACACTCCTGATAACACCCCCGATAACTATCGCGATAATGCCCCGATAACAATCCTGATAATTCCCCGATAACGATAACAATCCCGATAACTCCCCGATAGCTATCGCGATAACGCCCCGATAACAATCCCGATAACTCCCCGATAACTATCGCGATAATGATCCGGATAACGATGGCGATAACACCCCCGATAACTTCTCGATAACTCCCCAATAACTATCGCTTTAACGCCCCCATAACTTCCCGATAACACCCCCGATAACTATCGCGATACCGCCCCCGATAATGATCGCGATAATGCCCTCGATAAGGATCCCGATAACTCCCCGATAACTATCCCGATAACTATCGCGATAACGATCCCGATAACTCCCCGATAATAATCCCGATAACGATCCCGATAACTATCTCGATACTGCCCCCGATCACGATCACGATAACGATCGTGATAATGCTCCCGATAAGGATCCCGATAACTCCCCGATTACGATCGCGATAACGCCCCTGTCACGACGCCCCCGATAACGATTGCGATAACAATCCTGATAACTCCCCGATAACAATCCCGATAACTATCGCGATAACGATCCGGATAACGATGGCGACAACTATCCCGATAACCATCGCGATAACGACCCCGATAAAGATTGCAATAACTATCGCGATACCACCCCTGATAACGATCCCGATAATTCCCCGATAACTATCCCGATAACGCCCCCGATGATTGCAATAACTATCGCGATACCACCCCTGATAACGATCCCGATAACTCCCTGATAACTATCACGATAACGATTGCGATAACTCCCCGATAACACCCCCGATAACTATCCTGATAACTCCCTGATAACTATGGCAATAAAAATCCCGATAACTCCTCGATAACTCCCCGATAACTATCGCGATAACACTCCCAATAACGATCCCGACAACACTCCCGATAACACCCCCGATAACTATCGCGATAATGCCCCGATAACAATCCCGATAACTCCCTGATAACTATCGCGATAACGATTGCGATAACTCCCCGATAACACCCCCGATAACTATCCTGATAGCTCCCTGATAACTATCGCAATAAAAATCCTGATAACTCCCCGATAACTATCGCGATAACACTCCCAATAACGATCCCGACAACACTCCCGATAACAACCCCGATAACTATCGCGATAATGCCCCGATAACAATCCCGATAACTCCCCCACAACTATCCCGATAACGCCCCTGTCGCGATATCCCCCCCCTCCGCAGGTTCACGGGGCTGGGCCGGGGGCTGTTCCAGCTGCTGCAGCTGCTGCGGGCTCTGGGCGAGCTGCGGCTCAARGTGACCTACGAGAGGGACCCGCTGGTGGCCGAGGGGCCACTGCTGG